ATTACGTTACAATTTTAATATAATGAAGAACTTCGCATGGCTGATCTTCATAACCATTACAATATTTTCTTTCTTATAATAAAAACTTGCATATCTAAGTACATATGTATATTACATATTCAATTTGGGATAATGGGCAGCTAAGAATTAAAAAGGCGAATTTTATTATTTTATCAATTATGAAATTTAAACTAGTCTTTAACTCGATATTAACATTATCAAAAGATAAATTATTTAATATTGATATAGTGATTATTAACAATTTGAAATCAATCTGTTTATCAAAAATACATTAAAGCTAGTTCAACTCAAAGGGTTATCGTTAATCTTAAATTGGTTAATCGATAAATTATTTAATATTGATATAGCGAAAATCGAATATCAATTTTAATTAACTTGTTTATTAAAGGCTGTTCAACTCAAAATTAAGGTTGTCGTTAGCGTTAATAACGGATAAATTATTTAATGTTGATTAACAATCGAAAATATATTACCTTTATACCATGCAATTTTAATTTACCTATTAAACCGTTAATCAGAACTATATAAAGATAATATTAATAACAGATAAATTAATATTGACATCGATGTACGTAGTAACCAGACCCGGGTACTATAGTAATCGAAAAGTTGGCTAAGTTAACAACTTATCGATTTAAAAATTTCGAAGCAACTAATCGATAAATTATTATTCAAACTTTGCCTATTCGGGTCACTAATTTAATAAACTTTTATAAAATTTAAGGTGGTCAAAGTCAATTAGATTACAACTAATATTGTGAAAAATTGTATAAAATACAAGAAATAAAAATTTTCGCTCATTTTTATTCAATGATATTCGTACCACTTACCGTTCCTTTTAAACTAATTATTCTATTATATTTCCATTCTGCTATTTATATTCTACTGCATTTAATAATATAAAATGAAAGAAATAAAAATAGAAGAAGTTTGTGAGGTTGTATGATTACAAAAAGGATGCGACAAAATAGATGTCTATGGGCATCTAATAGTCAAGGTTAGAAATAGAAGAAATCGGTATTACTGGTGCTGCGAATACAGAAAGTTGAAGAAATATAAAGGTTCCGCAATAATGGTTTTAATTAAGAACTTGTATTATCTACAAGATTTAGTCCAACATAATCACTTGCCTGATGCAACCCGTCCAGAAGTCATAAAAGCTGTAACTGAACTTAAAAAACGTGCATCTGAAACCAGAGAAAAGCCTGTACAACTTATTTAAAATTATAGTATCTCTGATGATATTCAACCATTTATGCTGTCACTTAATGCTCTTCGTCAAATAGTTTCTTATTCTAAAAAAATAGAAAAAATACCACAAACACAAAATATTCTAGAAATTAATATCCCACCTTCATTGCGTATTACTTTAAACGGTGATCCTTTTCTAATCCAAGACCTCATAGTTGACCAAAGTAGAATTCTCATATTTTCTACAAATGAAAACATCAACTGTTTATCCGAAGCCCCCTATTGGATTATGGATGGTACGTTTAAAACAGTTCCAGATGTTTTTTATCAAATTTACACCATCCATGCACCGGTCGGTCCTGAAGAAAACTCCAGAATTTTGCCATTAGTATATGCTCTCTTGACAAACAAATCTGAAGAAATATATAGGTACGTACGTACGTATGTATATATATGTACGTCAGTATCCTCCAAAAGTTTATCAATGTTACACAAAACTTAAAATATGTAAATTTAGCAATATATTAAATTAAGTTTTTTTTTTTCGTGTAACCATGATAAACTTTTGGAGAATACTGTAACAGGTAACATACGTACGTACGTACATACATAATTTTTTTTATCAGGTGATCTTAACTAAACCAAAATAATTTAAAAAAATATTACCACTAAATATAGGCATC